TACCGTACGCTCACGTCCAGATTGCCGAAATGCCGAAAGGTGTAAATTTTTTGCGTACGCCTCATATACACCCTGATTTATTCGTACGCAAGTTTCATAATTGAGGGCCACTGTCTCAATAAGGTGAAGTTTTTTCTGCAATATTATTGTCTATGATAGTTATCGCCTACCCCTAACACACACACACACACACACGCACACACACACACACACACACACACACACACACTATTATTCTAAGTAATAATACTAAACATGCAGGGTTAGACCACACAGTCCCTGCTCCAGTCTCTGCTTTAGTCTGCCTCAGTATCTGTTCTAGTCTCTTGTCTCAGTATACAGTGCAGACCAAAAGTTTGGACACACTTTTTCATTCACTGAGTTTCCTTTCTTTTCATGACTATTGACTGTAGATCCACACCAGGCTGTGTAAGGACTGTTTGACCAATAAGGAGAGTGATGGTGCTGGGCCAGATGACCTGGCCTCCACAGTCACCGGACCTGAAGCCAATCCAGATGGTTTTGGGGTGAGCTGGACCACAGAGTGAAGGCGAAAGGTCCAACAAGTGCTAAGCATCTCTGGGAACTCCTTCAAGACTGTTGAAGACCATTTCAGGTCACTACCTGAAGCTCATCAAGAGAATGCAAAGAGTGTGCGAAGCAGTAATCAGAGCAAAAGGTGCTACTTTGAAGAACCGAGAATATAAGACATATTTTCAGTTGTTTCATACTTTTTGTTAGGTATGTACATAATTTCACATGAGTTAATTCATAGCTTTGATGCCTTCAGTTTGAATCTACAATTTCCATAGTCATGAAAATGCAATAAAAACTTTGAATGTGAAGGTGTGTCCAAACTTTTGGTCTGTACATGGATATCTACATCATGAGACAATACCAAAATACTCTTTCTCTCTTTCTCTGTCTCTGTCTTTCTATCTCTGTCTTTCTCTGTCGTCTTAAACATGGCAGCAGCTCATGGCCTAGAGGGTAGATTCCACACGGACGATTAGATCTTTGGGGAGGACGTGTTTTAGACGTAATAAGCTTTAATAGCCGCAGTAATGGCCGACAAGGGGTCTCCAGTGCCGATACCATCAAACCCAGCTCTGTGAAGTCCACGGGTCACATACAACCACCAAGAAGGGAGACTCCACCAGAAGACAGCCCAAATTTGGACTCTGAATGGACCAGGGTTGGGACTATATTTCCCCTTTAATGTGACAACTGCTATAGACAACTTCACCTAAACATTGTATATATTTGTAATGCATGCCTTCAAACTCCATTATGCTGTCTTCATTTCATCTTTTATGAGCCCTGTGAGTCACTATTTGACTTTTTGGGCTGAGAGCTCATTGGCTGAGTGAGGGTGGTCCTCTCTTTGTCATTTTTCTGTCTGAAAACGCTGATCTAAAGATATGGAAGAGGCCATAATACATTGAAACTAGTGATGGATTACAGCCAGGAACTAGAGAGACATAGAATTGATTATTTAGTTCATTTTTTGAGGTTTGAAAATTGGCGGCACGGTGGCTGAGTGGATAGCACTCTCGCCTCTCAGCAAGAAGGTCCTGGGTTCGAATCCCGGTCGGACCAGGGCCTTTCTGAGTGGAGTTTGCATGTTCTCCCCGTGTCTGCGTAGGTTTCCTCCGGGTACTCCGGTTTCCCCTACCACTAAAAATATGTCCAATAGTTCTGGCATGCGCCTCCTGTACTGGCGACCCCGCTCCCATCTCTGTGTGGAGTGAGAGACAAATGCCCAAAATTAACAATTGTAAACCGCTTTGAGACTCAGATCTGCAGTGAAAAGGCGGTATATAAATAAAAACTTACTTACTTACTTACTTACTAAAATAAGATTATATTTATTATCCAAAGGCAAATTTGCTGTGGGAGACAGTGCTACACAGATCTGCAAAAATGAAAAAAAAGGAACATTACAGGAAAAAAACATAAACAGCAGTGTTGCTTTAAAGTTTCTGGTGAATTCTGTATCAAAATAAAGTTAGGTAACCCAGCTTTAAGATGTTTCTAATGTTAGGCCATTTCTGAAGTTCTTTAGTTTACTATTTTGCTTTTTGTATAATGACATCACACTTGGGAAAAATATGACAAAAAAGTACTTTTATCAAGTTGGTCTATAATTTTGTGCTTATATTGTTCAGCTTCGGTGTCTGCTTTTATCTCTACTTTAGTCCCTGCATCAGGCCCCATTTAGTCTCTGCTCCAGTCTCTGCTCCAGTCTCTGCTTCAGTCTCGGCTTCAGTCTCTGCTTCAGTCTCTGCTCCAGTCTCTGCTTCAGTCTCTGCTCCAGTCTCTGCTTCAGTCTCTGCTTCCGTCTCTGCTTCAGTCTCTGCTCCAGTCTCTGCTTCAGTCTCTGCTTCCGTCTCTGCTTCAGTCTCTGCTCCAGTCTCTGCTTCAGTCTCTGCTTCCGTCTCTGCTTCAGTCTCTGCTCCAGTCTCTGCTTCAGTCTCTGCTTCAGTCTCTGCTCCAGTCTCTGCTTCAGTCTCTGCTTCCGTCTCTGCTCCAGTCCTGGTCCAGCCCAGTCTTGCCCTCACCATGGCCTTACCCCTCACATCTGGAGTCTCTCTTTTGTGTCTCCTTCACAGACTCTGCTGACTCTGCACCTCCTCTCTCCTCCTCCACTCACAGTTCAGCAGTTTTTTCGGCCGCTTCATATTCTGCCATGACTCACCGTGCTGAAGTTTAAGGCCTGATTTATGCCAGTTTCGAATTGGAAATGCCACAATCACTCTGGAACGTATGAGGGATTAGCCGAGACCAGGGTTGACCTCCTTCACCTGTGAGTCAAGTTCACTCTGTGGTTTTTAAATGACACTAGAACCTAAGTATAGAACACAGTTGGATGATTCCCAATGAGAAAACCACACTGATCCTGATGTTAGAGTGGATGGGTCTAAAAACAGCTGCAGGTCTGTGGCTGATGAGGACAATGTTGTAACATGGTTAAATTGACTAATTATCGATAATATGTCTGATATAAAAGTCAATAATGTATAATTGCTGGCGATTGCAAAGCCTGTCCATGTTGTCTCTCTCTTATCTCTTCTCGTATCTCTCTTCTGTCTCTCTCTCTTCTTTCTCTATTCTCTCTCTTCTCCCTCTCTCTCTTGCATCTGTCCAAACCCTGTTTCTGTTTTTCATCACTCTCTACGACCCCCCCTTCCTCCAAAACAACCCATCCCTCAACATTCCAAACATGTGTGAGTTTCTGCGTCGGCGGTCTGAACGCAGTAAAATGTTCAAATATAAAGGACTGTTTAATATTTGTTTGAATATCATTAAGTTATAAGTCAAATTATGTTTGAATATAAAATGTAGTTTTCTCAGCCTTACTGCTAACCACCACAAACTTTTGCAACTCTCTAAAATCCACTCAAATCCACACAAGTTTAACATTTCTTTCTGGAAATAACACCTCTCCTGCTTCAATTCAATTTGGGTATTTGGGTATCGCCCTAAATCAACAGTAGTTACTGTTTCTCGTGAGGTTTAATAAAGTTGTCAATCCGCCAACACAGATCAATTACAGATACATATTTCTCTGCAGATTTACAGTCTTTCAAAGAGTCGTTTGAAGTGCTGGCATCACGCTATAGGACCTGTTTTCTCAATGCACTGATTTTATGGCAATAATATAAATCTCCACATCTGTCCCCAGATCCTGAGCTTAAACTTGTCTCTCATTTATCCCCATGTCGTTCCACTTACATGTTTTCACCCTGTTATTACACTGTTCGTCTTGTTTATCGTTAGGACCGAAGCCAAAGACTGGGCCCTGGAGGCTACATGTGGTTGGCTCTTCTCCATTCTCAGTCATGTGTAGTTGGTTAGAAGCAATCTCTCATATCTGTCTTTAAATTCCACGATTAAACAAAAGAGACTTCCTTTGAAAAGAGTTCTAATCAGCAGTAATGTGTTCTGAGAGGCAGCAGACGTCCTGCAGGTTTGGAAAAGTCACGAGACAAAGTCATCCACAAAGGATCAAGAATGCAGCTGGAGTTCGGACGAATTGGATGATGTTTTGGGTTTAAAACAGGTTTAAAAGAGGAAGAAGTCTCGATCTGTGGGCCCTGAAGTCATCTCATTAGCAAACAAGTTATATTTTGAGTGAGAACCCCCCACCCCCCACCTCCATGAGTGAGGGTGGACCTAGTTTTAATGTGTGTGACAGGTCACACACACACAAAAACTAGTGATAGAAGGAACAGCGATGGAAGCAACGCGTAACATGCAAAAGTAATAAAAACATGTGTGTGTCCTCTACTCTGACAAAAAGGTTGTAGGAAAGGGACTAGTATGAGACAAGAGCCAGCTAGAGCTCCTTAGCAACTGTTGTCAAGACCACAATGCAGGCACAGAAACATAGGAGAAAAAGCTAAGTTTTGCTGATTACTTTTACAAAACAATACATTTTTAACATGTTTTGAAAGTTCCTACTCTACTCTACTCTTCTCTACCGTTTAGCCAGTACCAGGTCCTTTTCTAGTACCTCTCGGCCCTAGTTATATCCAGGCCGAGTAGGTACTGAAGTGTTCTGACTGATCGTAAATGCCATGGTTCCCCAGAGAGTGGTATGTTGTGGGTGGGTTGCTAGGATACAGTGCCATATATTTACAGTGTAATGGAAACACAACCGAGTAGAGTCGAAGAAAAGTGTAAGTATACTTTACACAATGAGAGACTTCATTGTACATTGTACAACCTTTTTAAAGTGGGCCGGACGTTGGCGACAGAGCAGAGGTTTTGGATGCAGACGAGAGGAGAGAGCGTGAGAACGTGAGAGCGAGGCATCAGCAGCTGTCAGTCTGTCAGCGCAGCCTCCACACGCCGTCAAAACAAAAGACGAGAAGTCATTTTTCTGCAGCTCTGTCCCACTTTCAACCACACTGAACTGAGCATGTGCGGAGCCAAACACTGCCGCGCTTCACTGTGAAACCACCACAATGAAAATGTGTAATGATGTAATAATAGTTTTGCTTTTGCTTCTATGGGCGACACAGTGGCTGAATGGGTAGCACTCTCGTTTCTTAGCAAGGTCCTGGGGGATTTCTGAGTGTTTACATGTTCTCCCTTGTCTGCGGAGGTTTCCTCCGCGTGCTCTGGTTGAGCATGAGATATGAGACCAGAGAAGGACCAGGTTTAGGTGGTTAGAAAAGTGTGTAAAGTGGGTGTGAGAAAGAAAACAAAAGAAAGAGAGACCAAAGAAAGAGAGATCAGAGAGAGACCAAAGAAAGTCGAACCAGAAACAGACCAAAGAAAGATAGAGCAGAGAGAGAGGCTAGAGAAAGACCAAAGAGATAGAGACCAGAGAGAGAGAGAGAGAGAGAGAGAGACTATAGAGAGTTCATGATGTCATAGATGGGTGTATATGGTCCAGTGTTTTGGTCCAGTGTTTTGGTCTGGCTCTCTTGTTTGAACTGGGTTTGGTCCAGGACCACATTCCTGATAGATCCCGTTTCAAACTCTGCTTTTGTGTGAGATCCTTGCTGATCCTTGCTCTCTGTGCGACCGGAGCGCTGGCCATGTCCGAGGGATTCCGGACAAAGAAAGCAGGAAGTACTGTAAACGTTATCACAAACCTAAAGCTGGGGAACCTAACTTTATCGATTTATGAAGTAAACACTGAGTTTGAGTTTATCTCATTAGAAAAGGTCTTGGCTTAAACCTGGTTTAGGGGTGGCACGGTGGCTGAGTGGATAGCAATCTCGCTACTCAGCAAGAAGGTCCTGGGTTCGAAGGACCGTGTCTGCGTAGGTTTCCTCAGGGTGCTCCGGTTTCCCTTACCACTAAAAACATGTACAATAGGTCTGGCATGCGGCTCCTATACTGGTGACCCTACTCCCATCTCTGTGTGGAGTGAGAAACAAATGCCCAAAAATTACCATTGTAAACCGCTTTGTGACTCTGGTCTGTGAAAGGCGGTATATAAATAAAGATTACTTACTTACTGGTTTACACATGGTTTAGACATGGTTTAGTCCTGGTTTAGTCCTAGTTTAGACCTGTTTTATTCCTGCTGTAGTTCCAACAACAAGTGTCTTTGCTCTACTCTCTGCTCTCTCTCTGGTCTCTCTCAAGTCTCTCTCTAGTTTCTCTCTTGTCTTTCTCTAGTCTCTCTCTCTCTAGTCTCTGTCTCTGTTTTCCAAAAGTACCAGGGGGCCAAAGAACGGGTACTTTTGACTGGTACTGTAGCCACCTCTGCTCAGGATCATGTTTCTGTTTGAGCTTTTACACAGAGAACGTGGAGGCGGCAAACACAGCGCACCCTCCTGAGTCTGTGACGAGGGACGTTGCTTTGTCATTCTGATCTAGGAAATAATCTGTCCGTTCGGAGACGTGATGTGACCTGCCTGAGTGAATTTCCGTCCGGAGGTTTTACCATCTCCCAGTGGTGGGAAAAATTGAGTCTGTTTTTGGCCCTTGAAAATGATCTTCAGAATTTGTATGTGGCCATAGTATGCGTTGTCATACAATCTGAGCATACTAAAGTACTAGAGTTGAAAATGTGTAGATGAAAGTGAGAATCCTCCATAGAGAGAGAGGGAGAGATGCTTGAGAGAGAGACCCAAGAGAGAGAGACCAGAGGGAGACCAGAGAGAGACCAGAAGAGACCAAATACAGAGAAAGACCATACAAAAAATCTGAGACAGAGATAGTTTATGATGTCATAGAAGTGTACCTAGAAGTGGCCATTAAATCCCTGATCCTGTCAGACTTTTGAAGCTAAGCAGGGCAGGGCCTTGTTAATGCTGTGATGGGGGACCTCTGGAAACACCAGCTGTCTGAATGGCTGGTGGTGTCAGTGTGTGGCAGTTGTGGCTAGTTTATCACCATTGCGTTTGGAATGAATGAGTAATAATAATACTTGTTACCTATTGACACGAGAGCTTTAAAATAAAACCAAACTGATGATATTTGACCCTCACTCTCTCTTTGTCTACAGGACACCAGTCATCCTTCCGTCAAGTGCTTGAATGAGAAATATTCAAATCTAGTCGAGTCACGGTGACACAGCTTGTCTTTGTTAGCTCCGCCCCTTTCGTGCTCCAGTACCTCTCTCACACACAGTCGAAATGACAGCAGTACCTCAGCGCATTCAAGATTCCACCCTCACCGTAAGTCTCTGGCATTCTCTTAGGGCACCGATGCAGAAATGTACTGTTTTTATGTCAGAGAGCCATGCAAGTCACTATTTGACTCTTTGGGCTGAGAGCTGATTGGTTGGGTGATGGTGGTCCTCTTCTGGTTTTCCGTCTGAAAAAGCTGATTTCAAGAAGTGACAGAGTACAGAAAAATGTGTCTCTCTGGTCTATCTCTAGTTTGTCTTTCTCATCTCTCTTTCTGAACTCTCTCTAAGGTCTCTCAATTCTATCTCCGGCATCTCTTTCTGGTTTCTGGTCTCTTTTTCTGGTCTCTGGTCTCTCTTTCTGGCCTCTCTTTCTTGTCTCTCTGGTCTCCCTCTCTGGCTTCTTTTTCTGGTCTCTCTGTCTGGTCTCTCCCTCTCTGGCCTCTCTTTCTGGTCTCTCTGTCTGGTCTCTCCCTCTCTGGCCTCTCTTTCTGGTCTCTCTCTCTGATTTTTGAGGACAAGATCAGTACATTTTCAGTACAAGAAACTAGTGACAGTTTTTTATTATTTATTGAAAATTAGGTATCTCAGCTTATAGAATAATAATAATAATATACCAGGATATCTCTGGTCTCACGCAGTTGTGAAAAGACTTTGACTTTAGGAAGTTGAAATTTGAGGTAAAAAAATGGAAAGCTTGATTTTACGTGGTCCACTTGAACTGAGTCCAGTTCAACGTCTGATCCAGATCATGCGCTCTCGGTTACCAAGCCAAAAGCTAAGCTTTAGTTTTCATATTGGTGTTAATACGTCAACTGGTGAACTTCAGTCGTAATGAGCAGAAAACAGAGACCAGAGAAAGAGACTCTCTGGGGTCTCTACTTTCTTATTGTCTCACAAATCTCTCCCTCTCTCTGTTCTCTCTCTTGTCTCCCTCTGGTGTCTCCCTGGTTCTCTATGCTGTTTGGCTCCCTATGTTCTATCTGCACCACATCCTCTCTTCTCTCTCTCTCTCTCTCTCTGGACTCTCTCTCTCTCTTGTCTCTCTCTGGTGTTTCTCTGATCTTTCTCTCTCTTGTCTCTGGCCTCACGGTGTCTCTCTGGTGTTTCTCTGTTCTCTCTCTGGTGTCTTACTGGTCTCTCTCTTGTCTCTCTGGTCTATCTCTGGTCTTTCTCTCTGGACTCTCTCTGGTCCCTCTCTCTTGTCTCTCTTCTTTCTCTGGTCTCTCTCTTTGTCTCTCTGGTCTCTCTCTTCTCTCTCTGGTCTCTCTCTTGTCTCTCTGGTCTCTCTCTTGTCTCTCTGGTCTTTACCTCTGCTCTCTCTCTGCACCACTTCCTCTTCCTTTAAGGATGTCTCTCTCTCTTTTCTCTCTGGTCTCTCCCTCTCTGGTCTTTGTGGATGAGATCTGCACCACATCCATTTGGGGGCTAAACATTGGGAACATGTGAAATCTTGTTATTGATCCAAAATGACAGTGAATGTAAATAAGTCATAACCAGTACAACATACACTGGGGATGTGACCAGAGCCTCAGACAGAGCTGTCCTTCTGTCACGTCTCTCTGTCCTCTGTAGAACCCTGATGATTGACAAATTAGAAAAATCTCTCCTGAGTTTGTACATTACCGAGGAAACACAACTGGAACATTGTGAAACTGTAAAAGGTTGAGTATGTTTTTTTAACAAAGCTGTGTGACAGAGAGACCAAAAAGAGACCAGAGAGAGTCCAGTGAGAGGCTAGAGAGAGACCAGAAAGAAACCAGAGGGAGAGAGGCTAGATAGAGACCAGAGGGAGACCAGAGAGAGACCAGTGGAAGACCAGAGAGAGCCCAGTGGAAGACCAGAGGGAGACCAGAGAGATACCAGAGAGTCACCAGAGAAAGACCTGAGAGAGACCAGAGAGAAACCAGAGAGAAACCAGAGAGAGATGAGAGAGAGACCAGTGGGATGTTAGTATTAGATAGCAATATGGCCTACGTGCAGGACTGTACAAGGACTCTACAAGGACTCCATGTTATGACTATGATGTGACTGTCTCTTTGTGACACGTACGTCTTTCCATGTGTGACGTGACAATGACTATATAAACTGTGTACTGCCTTTATTCTGTCTGAGAGAAAGAAACAAAGTAAACCAGTGGAACTTGAGAGAAACTTAAATAAACTTCCAGAGTTTGTCGCACCACGATCCGTCTCTGTCTGCTGAATCCTGACAGGAAGACCAGAGAGAGACCAGTGGAAGACCAGAGAGAGACCAGTAGAAGACCAGAGGGAGACCAGAGAGAAACCAGAGAAAGACCAGAGAGAGACCAGACAGAGACCTGAAAGAGACCTGAGAGATACCAGAGATAAACACAAGAGAGGCCAGAGAGGGAGATACCAGAAACAGAGCAGAAAGAGGTCAGAGACAGGGACCAGAAAGAGACCAGAGGGAGGGAGGCCAGCGAGAGATACCAGAAACAGACCACAGGGAGAGCTCAGAGAGAGCTCAGAAAGAGACCAGAGAGAGAGAAACAAATGAATCACACCTTCAACATCTGTGTCAGCTGCTCCATAAAGGTCCCACACTCTGAGACTCTTAGCACTTTACTGGAGTAAACTTTCCTCTTTAGAAATATTCTGACCACAGCAAATGGTAGTATACTATTCTGGTGACGAGAACGAAGACCATTGATGAGAATGTGTTGAGAGGTCAGAGAGAGACCAGAGAGAGACCAGAGAGAGACCAGAGAGAGGGAGAGAAAGACCAGAGAGAGAGGTCAGAGAGAGACCAGAGAGAGACCAGAGAGAGACCAGAGAGAGGCCAGAGAAAGACCAGAGAGAGACCAGAGAGAGACCAGAGAGAGACCAGAGAGAGGCCAGAGAAAGACCAGAAAGAGACCAGAAAGAGACCAGAGAGAGACTGAAGAAGCCGCCAACACAACAATTGTGACTGAATACGGAACTGGAAAACATATGAAACATCTGCAAAAGCTGTGAAAAGTTGATTTTGCGAGTACACAGAAGTCTCCTTTAATACTATTTTTGATTAACTTATCTCCTTACACGTGACAGACTCGTGGCAGCTTTCCAAACCAATTAGCCGCTTCGTTAGCCGCCTTGTTAGCTTTTGAAATTCCTCCCAAAATCTGTGGCCTGGTTTCACCTTCCTGCTTGTCCATTCGGGCTTTGTGATTTCTTCCTGTAACTCCTTAGGCTGTCACCAGAGGGATGAGAGAGAAAGGATTAAGGCGAGAGCAGAGGAGAGCTGAGGGGAGAGACCAGAGAGAGAGAGAGAGACCAGAGCTAGTCCTGTGAGGGATGAGAGCGAGACAGCTGAGAGACAGACTATCGAAAGACCAGATATATAGACCCGAGACAGATGAGAGAGAGACCTGAGAGAGACTCTGGTTTGTAATCTGGATCCATTCCAACAAAGTCCATGAGTCCAGTTTTTGCTGAGGCTAAGTTTGGGAGAACAGAGCTGAGAATTTAAAACAGCTCTTGTGTCGTTCCAAGAGACCAGAGCTTTAGCATCGAGTTCATGGAAAAACCCACTCCGACAACTGTTATTTCCTGGCCACCAACGATAAACAACACGTTAACACAATCCTAACAGCATAATCGACCGGTTTGTGCCAAAAGAAAAGAAAAGTCACAGACCACACAGCCATAAGTGATGCTGATGATGAAGGGAAGCACCGCCAAACGTCCTGGAAAGATGATGAAGAGTAAACAATGAGAGAACTACATAGTCCCTGGAGGCTTGGCCCTGTGTGCCCCACTCCAGCCATTGTAAGGACGATTAAAGCTGGGGTACGTGACTTTCGAACCACTACAATGGACCTATTTATTGAGAGAGAGAGTGAGAGAGAGAAAGAAAAAGAGACACAGAGAGAGAGAGAGACGAGAGATCAGAGAGAGAGAGGGAGACCAGAAAAAGAGGGAGGGCAGTGGTGGACCAGAGACAAGAGAGAGTACAGAGGAAGAAAGGCTCACTCTCTTCTTCCGAGAGAGAGAGAGAGAGAGAGACAGAGGGAGAGACTAGGGAGAGAGATCAGAGACAAAGAGCAGAGAGTGAATCTAGAGAGACCCAAGAGTGAGCCCAGAGAGAGAGACTGGAGAAAGGCCATCTCTCTAGATGGGACTAGAGAGAGACCAGAGGAAGAGAGGCCAGAGCGAGAGACCAGAGATTATAAAATGCAACTAATGTGAGAATTGCAAAGTCATTGGGTCTGGTTGAGCGGAGCCTTGGTCCTGTGTGCTGGGATACGTAACTTTCAAACCATTACAATGGACCTATGTTTTCAAACCCATACCACTGTAGTTACTCGCTCTCAAAACAGTTCGGCTCATAACAGGGAACAACAATAGTTATGCTAATGAGGGACAGAAGAGGGGGTGCCAGAAGAACCACTACACCTAAGGACATGTCCATCCAAAATGCGTTGTGTGAGATCCTCTTATCCCAGCTACTTAGGGCTGGGATATGTAAATTTCAAACCCCAAAAATGTATCTATGAAATATCATTCTTGTGACTGTAGTTCCTACCTGTAACTCGTTCTTTCACTCGTTTTGTGTATTTCTGGTCTCTCTCTCTATGGCCTCTGTGACATCTTTACATCAGCTTTTTCAGACAGAAAAGTGACAGAGATGGCCGCCCTCACCCAGCCAATCAGCTCTCAGCCCAAAGAGTCAAATTGTGACTCACAGGGATTTTTCTTACACAGATAGTAAATGGGGTCCAAGTTAAATGATTAGCCAATAATTTATATGATTCACGGGTTCCCATTTTAGAATGAAATATAGGATTTAGCTGTTTTGATAGAACGTCTGAGAAACCAGAGAGAGACCAGAGAGAGAGAGAGACCAGAGGGAGAGACAAGGGAGAGAGACCAGAGTGTGAAACCAGAGAGACCCGAGAGTGAGACAAGTGAGACCAGAGAGTGAGACCAGAGAGAGAGACTGGAGAAAGGCCACAGAGGGACCAGAGAGAGTCCAGAGAGAGACCAGAAAGAGACCAGGGAGAGACCAGAAAGAGACCAGGGAGAGACCAGGGAGAGACTAGAGGACTGAGTCTATAGATCACTGATACATGTTTACGTCTGGCCCAGTGTTCCTGGTCTCAGACTCCTGTAAAAACCTCCCATGAGGCATTGCAGCGCGGCGAACAATGGAGCTGTATGTGGAGGGGGACCAGGGGAGTAAGCTGTGGGGATTTGAGCCTCAGGGAGTTTAGAAAAAGTGGAATTTAACCATCGGCGACGGCTGCAGCGCGGTTTATGACTTCCGCGCTCTCGACCTGCGTCTGGACTAATGAGGTAAAGCCCCCCGTGCGGTTTTATTATTTCAACCATTGATTTAGTTTCTTTTTAATGAAATGAATATCAACAATTAGTATTAGAGTTGGTTCAATTCAATGCATCATACAATAGTTAGAATACTGAATAATAATAATTTCTCTAAAGTCTTTCCCTGTAGGCCTCTCGCTAATTCAACTCTTTCCATACTTATTGAAAGAGTTCAATGCCTTCAATACTTATCGTCAACACAATTTTTTTGCTATTTTCTCTGTTAAATTATGCACGTTTAGCTGTTGCGAGTTCACTTGGACTTAACATCACAGCTGGGGTACTTAAAACTCAACCTCAAGCTGTATTTTGTAGTGTATGCACGGCTTTTGACAGCTGCTGCAGCGCTCACACATACAACCAACAGGTTTGATAACTCTGGTCTCTCTCACTGCAGCAGTCATGCGTTCAGGTGGTTAGAAAAGTGTGTGTGAGGGGTTTTACAGTCTTAAAACGTACAGCTGCTACTTCATAGATTTCACTTATTGTCTTATTGTCATAGTTATTTTTAGAGCACATCACCCCTGCGAAAAACCAGGGGCTGTTGCATGTTTAAAATAGCGCCGGATAGCATTCAATGAAATTGTGTTGCACCGTGTAATCGTGAGTGGAGTAAACAAGTCTTTTTACTTCTCTCACTCCCTTTCAAACTTTCCTTCGTGGGAACAAATTCTGTGAAATGCATCTATGAAGTTTAATGTATGCCACAATGATTGAAGTCTATCACTTTTAAAAGCTGTTTTCTCTGCATTGTCTACCATTCAATGTCTATTATCCCATTCAATCATTACCTCCAATCAAAGAATCAGTGATGCCATAAATCACAATGTTTAGTAATGGCAGGGGTTGCTCAAAGCCGTGTCCTGCGTAAACATAGAATTTGACGGATAGCTTTCTGTCACCTGCGTTCGTATGTAACCTGATATAGGCGCTTGTGTAGGAGCCTGTTTTTTAACTGCACCATAAAATGTCAGCTGAGGCTTTCCCGCAATGACACACGCCGTTAAACTTCACCCGAAAACAGATTTTTGCAGAAGACAACAGCACAACCACATAAAGGACTAGAGGGGACAACCCTGGCTATAGCCTCGCACCACATTTCACACATTTACTATTTTTCGAGAGTGTTTCATTCATGTTTGACATCATTTGAATCATTTCTACTAGTGTCAAAGAAAGAGACAGACGCAGCAGCAATCTCACGCACGTAATCCCAGTGTATTTTACAGTTCTTCCAGACCAGCTTTTTGATGTGTATCAATATGCATTTTTTTGTAATAGGCCGATATTTTTGCTTGAAATAAAAGAACAAATGCTAATCGACAACTTAATAGAAATGTTAAAAAGAATTCCAAAGAAGAGGCAGCAGCGATCCACCCTAGTTCCAGAATCAAATAAAGAGGACTTTTTGTATGATTTGAATCTATGTGCATAAGAACAGCGGCGTCATAACTTGAGATATCTATGGCACATGCTTAAGATATAGATACTAACAATGTGGGTCAAAACAAATATGGACTCAGTTCCTCAGATAATAATGGTTTAGTAATACAGAACACATACAGGTAAGATTTTACACCACTACTGCTACTACTAGGTCTGAAGGTCTTTGTTCTGACCAGGTCATTAAGGTCATTATTAGGTCATAATTTTTAGTAGCGATACAGATAGAACCATGTCTCGGCCTTAAATTCTTTGAATGCTTGAATATCTTTCATGTTTGTCCATAACATGCAGGTCAGATTCCACACTAGCTCTCCCCTGGCTCCTCTGAGCACCACTATTAAATAAAACAACAGATTATAGGCCATAGTCACAGTTTTTTGTCAAAAGTGGAGAGAATTTTGCTATCTTTTTGGTGATAACAAAGCAATTTAGCTGTAGAGGTTCAGCATGTCCAAATACTACTTAATTGAGATGTTTGTTTTGTTACTGCATGCTTTTTATTAACATGACCACTCTTTTTTTTCTGGAGTTATCCAGGTTTATTGTACATTGAGGTTTCCTGGAAATATAAGGTGCAATATAAATAAAATGTATTATTATTATTATTATTATTATTATTACAGAAGGGTCTATATTAAGTCAATCTGAAGAGACCAAGACAGAAACACGAGTGCATAAAAAATATTTATTTGATTGGCGCATTGACCAGTGACACTTGCATAGGGGAAATCGTCAGCTGCTGTAGATGATCTCAGCCCCCCCGGGGTCAAGCACTGGTGGTGGCCAGAAGCATGGTGTGAATGGGGTGCAGGTGGAGCAGGAGACGGACCAGGGGCCAGACCAGGGGCCAGAGCAGGAGCCAGACCAGGAGCCGGAGCAGGAGCAGGAGCCAGAGCAGGAGCCAGAGCAGGAGTCAGGAGCCCGAACCGAGGTGGTGCTGGGGAGGTAGTGGGTGTCAAGAGCTTCAGGAAGCGCTGTTTCCCAACGAGTGGCTGCTTTTAACTGCCCGCTTTGCTGTCAGTGGGTTGACAGGGGGCTGGCCGGGCTGTGTGATTGGCAGAGGCTCGAGGCTGGCAGAGCGGTGTGATTGACAGGCCCTGGCGGTGAGAGCTGTGACCGGTCTTTCAGGTTGAATTTGTGCTTCAGTTTCATAACACTCTCACTGTTGTTTTAGTGATAGGCCAATAGTTGTGCATTTTTGCTTGAATTAAAAGAGAAATTACTGCTTATCGACAGCTTGAATGGAAATGCCCAGTTTAGTCCTGTTTGTGTAATTTTGTAACACTTTACTTTTCTTTATTGCATTTCCTTTGTTTGAATTGTGTAATTTTCGGATCGGTGTTGGCAAATTCAATGGTTTTATGAAGTCCTGGATAAATACTGTCGTGATTTAGGGCTATACACAAATATATTTAATTGAAATTGAATACTACTACTAATATCATTATGACTAGAACCCGGTCAGGCCAACAGCACCGTCTGCTCCCGCCCAGGACACGGCTCAAGAAAATGGGGGACCGGGCCTTCGAGGCCGCTGCTCCCCGTCTGTGGAACGCCCTCCCAGACCACCTCAGGGCCCCACAGACGGTGGAAGCTTTTAAAAAGGGACTCAAAACCCATCTTTTTACTAAAGCGTACTGCTAATTCTTTTATAGTCTTTTATCTGATTTTATGTGTTTGCTTTTATTTATGCTCCTGTTCGTAGCACTTTGAGATTTGGTGTCAAATATAAAGTGCATTATAAATAAAATGTATTATTATTATTAAAACTACTACTACTACATCTACTACTAATACTTCTTACTACATTATAAACGTTCTTATCAGTTTTTGACCCACTTTTTCGTCTAGTAAAGTATTTTACAGCCACATTTTATACAAAAACACAATTCAAAAGTCCAACAAGATCTGTCCCTTTCTCAACCCTAGCGTTATAAAGTGTTTTGATCTTCTGCATCAGTTCAATCTCATAAAGTAATCGGCAATAATAGTACAGTACATGTGGGACACGCTTGTACTCATAAAGACATAAACTGTATCTTTGTTGTGCTGAATGACCAGCCTCAGAGTATTTGAATATATTGGTTTAATCTTTGTGCTGTGGTATGTGGCTCATGTGGAGACTTATGCATGCTTTGTCAGTCTGCGTCACTGTGTTATAAGGGATAACTTGGCTACTTGTGGCTTCTAAAGTGATTCATACAGGTAAGTGCTGCATTTTGACTCAGAGAAGCTAAAAATAATCCAATGAAACAAAGTGGTTACTTGAAGAGATATGTTTTCCCCATGTAGTCCTGCTTTGATTAGTGTTCAAGTTTTGGGTTTGTTGACGCATGTGTAAGGAGGTTGAAGCTGAAGTAGTGGCGGAAATATTGCAAAATTATCATTTCATTCTCATTTAGTTGTAGTAGAAATGGTAGTAGCGGTAGTGGTAGTTGCAGGTGTGGTAGTAGTACGAGTAGCAGCACTGGTAGTAGCAGCAACAGCAGTAGAAGCAGCAATAGTAATAGTAGTAGTAGTTGCACAGGTTAAAGTGGTAGTGAAGTGTCTTTAGTAGTACTCTTTGTGAAAACATGAGACAAGCCCATTTAATACATGTAATGAATGAGTTGTACTACAGTAATTCAGTGGCATAATCTGCTTTAAATAGTTTCTATAACCAAATTATTTTACAAACTTGTTTTCATACTATAGTCCCAGTACCTAAGCTGTGATCTAAACTGTGTCAACCTGGGACATTTGACTACAGCACCAAAGCATACCTTGATAAACATTTAAATCGAGTAAAAATATCAAGCGTTTTTATACTTGATTGTTTTTAACTTTCTGAAGTATTGTGTTTATTTTTGTATTATGTTATGATAAGTAGCTAATATTGACGCTACTTGAAAAATCTATATGAGCGTTCACCGCATGTAATAATTCAAGATACAAGAATACATCGTTTAGAAAAATAACTCAATTTACAGAAGGTCAACAAAGGGCAAAGTAAACACTGCATTTCTTGATCCGTTTCATTGTTGGCCTTCAAAGTTATATTGTTCTGGTTTATGCTCGAAGCCAAAAGACTCAAAGTCCCATAAATCCTTGAGAATGTTTTGATAACGCTTTGGTAACAGACTGGTGTTTGGTAACGTGTGGCTGATGTCCTCCTCTCATTCAGGGAAGTGAGTGGAAGGAACCGCTGTAGCCTGCTGCTAGCCCGGACCGTACCACTTTGCCGTTTATAGGGAGGCCACTGTTTACTAACGGGACAAAACGAAAAGGTAAGCGCGTGAATATGATGAATATAACTAGCAATTGTCTCAAAATGTACATAAAAACATAACGTCTAGATTACGATTACGTTTTGAATATAAAAGTTATTTTCTTTGTTTAGTTTGACGCAATCTACCCTTCAAATAGTTCCGCTCACCTCGCAGCTCCATGTGGTATATTGTAGAAGAGCGTACTAGCCGCTTTTATTTCACATTTTCGTTCTTAATTTATGTCTTTTTCCTTTTGGTAATTTAGAATCGGTATGTTTCACGTCTCTGCAGCAACATGGTGAAAGCACTAAGCAAAGGTTGGTTTGGAAATGAAACTATATGGTCAAATGTGTGACCATACGATTCGTGCTAATCAAACCTACCCAAATTAAGAGTATGTATGTATCAATGTATACGTATTACTTCATTGTATTTGCGATTTGTGATATATAATACCAGCGTAAATTTACAAATACTCTTCAAAGCATCAGTATTGCCTGCTTCTGAAAGTGTCAAAACTCAAAATATGTCCTTAGTCAATATGTTTAATAATTATTTTATTTGATTAATTTCCCTAATAGTGTCCATGTCAAATCATTGTGGCGTGTTTAATGTGTGGTGCATTCATTTGTGTTTAATTGTGCAAGATGCTCCTTTGAAATTGTGTTTTTGGCCATGAGCTTATAGTGTGTTATAAAAGCTGGGAGACGTAACTTTATAACTGCATGAAATTGAACTATGTAATAAAATCCATGACCCTAGTGTCTGGCTCAAACAGTTTGCTTCACTAGTTATCACATGCTTTTGTTTTAGCCCTCTGTCACATTTTTAGATCAGACTTTTCAGACAGAAAGTCACTCTCTCTCTCTCTCTCTAGTCTACACTCTCTCTGATCTCTATCTTTGGTCTCTTTTTCTCTGGTGTCTTTCTCTCTGGTTTCCCTGGTCCCTCTCTCTGTTCATGTTTTAGGTTATATCTCAGTTCGCCATATTGTGGCCTTGTCTGTGGCTGATTAGCAGCATCAGCAGTAGCAGTAGTAGTAGTAGTAGTAGTAGTAGTAGTAGAAATTGTTAGCATTAAACGACTACAAAAAGTCGCCTGCTGGAATGTTGGGTCATTAAAACACAGAAGAGAGGAAGCATTGATTTGAAGTAGAAATTGTTGTAGTGTTCACAAAAGCAGATATTACATTCAGGTTTATCGGACATGTTTACTCTTCAGCCTTGAAAAAGAGGAGGGAGGGGTTTGGAGATAACGTCACACCCTCAACCTTCAAAACAACACTGATAAACGTAAGACAAACCGTTATAGAGCTCCCCAAAATACACTGTACTCGAGCCAATCCCACGACGGACATGTAAGTCCACACTGTCCTCACTCACTTTAGTCTGTCTTTGTGTTTTGGTCAAACAAGTTAGCAATGGTCGTCTTAAGGGCTGTACAATTTTGGCAAATATGTTAATTTGTATATATTTTTTAATTAGATACTGTTGACTTTCCAATGCACAAAATGTTTTTAAACATTTCTCTAGCGTCTCTCTCTGGTCTCTCTCTTTCTGGTCTTTCTTTCAGGTGTCTCACTCTGGTATTGCTCTCTGGTCATGCTCTCTGGTCCCTCTCGTGTCTCTCTCTAGTCGCTTTCTGGTCTCTCTGGCCCGTCTCTGGTCGCTTTCTGGTCTCTCTGGCCTGTATCTGGTCTCTTGCTGGTTTCTTGGTCTCTTTCTGGTCTCACGCTCTCTGGTCTTTCTCTTTCTAGCCGGTCTCGGATTTCCCTCCCTGGTCCAGAGTTTATTTGGATTGTACTGAAGGTTTTCCCACAATGAGATATGAGAATCAGCCCTCTTGCTGTTAAACATATTATTGTTACTATTGAATGATCTCTTTGACCTTATAACACTTGATTAATTGCGCTTCTTGACAAGTTATGAAAAATACTATTTCGAACCGTTTTTATTGTATCTTGAAATGACCTCACACCCCCTAGTTTGAGAACCACTGTGTTACATTGGTGGTTGATTGAGTTCCAGCATAGAATATTATTTGTGCTTGTTCTCACGGTTAGACCCGGCTGAAATATCACGTGATGTAAATGAAGACGTGGGGGGGGAGAGATGGGAAAGGATGAGGGAGGAGAGGAGCAGGGATTTTCTGAGAACAATAACTATTTTTCAAAGTTTGCCTGGATAATGGCCAACTTATCCTTTTTAAGGCCGTATATAAACATGGGGTAGATGCTAATGTGTATGCACTAATATGCTAAATTCTTATACACTAATGCACTAATATGCTAATGCCAATACACTGCTAAGCTAATACACTGTTAATACACTTATACACTACTATGGTAATGCACTTGTAAGACATTAGGATAATTTTTAAGGTTATTTCATCATTATTTGTATGTTGATCTAAACCACTGAAGTTGACATGTGTATATATTGCCTGGTCTATGTTGTCCATTGTAATGCAATTCCCTCTGGCCCTGGTTGCTCTGCTGGATGAAATGACGACACTGGTCTCAAAACATGCCTCCCTCACATCAGAAATGACCTCCGTCTCCCTCCAGGGGCGTGTTCGTATCGTTGCCGGATCCCGTGATGGTGGAGCAGCACTCTCCAGCTCCAGGGCACATGCTCCTGACCAAAGCCCAAAACGGAGGCCTGTCCAAGGGGATGGAGAGCTCCAAAGATCATGGCCTGCTGGAGAGGGGGCAGTGGGGCAGCAAGGCCGAGTTCCTACTGGCGGTGGCCGGGCAGATCATCGGCCTGGGGAACGTCTGGAGGTTTCCGTACCTGTGCTACAAGAATGGAGGAGGTGAGGACTGTAGCATGGGTTTCCAACCTATGGGTCGGGAGCTACCAGTAGCTCGCTACCCTCTTCAAAGTAGCTCCCCAAAAGATAATGTTTGAGTAAATATAAAAAAATCTACTTTTTGTACTAATGGATTAGGATAGATTGTTTTACGGGTATAACACTACACAACAACAAATGCCAAAACAAAGAATGTTGCTAAAATAATAACGTGATACATTTGCTATGGCCGTGTTTGAAATGTTTCCTTCTCTGATCTGTGTTGGCAAAAAGTCCTCTGAGATAACTACAATTGTGATTTAGGGCTATACATAATTTAATTGAAATAACTTGAATAATTGAAATTAAAACCAGACTAAAGCTGGTCGTTCTATTTTTTTTTTTTTAAAATCAAGATAAAAATCTACACTCTGCCACTTTTCTCCCAAAAAGGTATCTCTCCCAAAAAAGTATCTCTCCAAAAAGTTTGTAGACTCCTGTTGTAGAGGTTAATCGAGCTACAAGGTTAGCTCCATTCACTTTGGCAGGTTTTTAAGAGCAGTTATCAAAGCTATCAAGTGTGGTGAGAGGTTTTTTATAGCTCCGGTCCTCAAAGGGTCAATTTCTCAAAAGCAGATCAGAGAATCAAACAGTTGGAACACAAACATTCAATAATTACAAGCACATGATAGCAGCCTTAGGTCCATAGGGATAAATGTCCATAATCCTCACTGTCCTTAGACCCTCCTCATCAACATTGTTTTGACTAATCCCTGTACGACTGAGAGCTTACACAAACTTATCTTTAGCAGCCGGTGACTCTAGTACTTTTAAAGTTATGCACCCCAGCTTTAGGACCTGGGTCTGAGGCTTATTCTCCTGAGTGTTCTCCAGGTGTGTTCTTTGTGCCGTACCTGCTCTTCCTGGTCCTCTGTGGAGTCCCTCTCTTCCTCCTGGAGACGTCTCTGGGCCAGTTCACCAGTCTGGGAGGGGTCAGTGCCTGGAGGTCCATCTGTCCTCTGTTCGGAGGTAAACGCTTTTAAACTTGTATAAATGTAATATGACATTCAGATTTATTTTGTTTGCCATTTGCAGTAAAACCACATTGGAATACTTTTGCAAAAGTCGCCAGTGTGCACAAGACAAGTACACACATTAAACAAGATTAAAAGTACAGGAATAAAACAAAAACAATTGACCTTGTAAAATCAGTCAACTACAACAGTTTCAGTGCTCTGTTCAAACTGATAACAGCTTGTGGAAAGAAGCTGTTGCAAAACGAGATGTTCTGCATTTCAACCAACAATATCTTCTGCCAGAGGAAAGAAGCTGGAACATGGCTTTTTCAGGGTGCCCAGAAGAGTCATTGAATATTCTAAGAGCTTGGTTTATATTCTACACGCTGTGTTGATTAGAAGTTTGTTTCTTCAGAGCAATTTTACATGTTACTTTTGCAATATTATCGCCTACTATAGTTATCACCCAGCGCTAATTGCACATAAATGAGTTGTGGTAATTTCTAATCCTCTCTCTCCTACTCACCTCCCCTCTCTTCTATTTCCTCTCTTTCCTCTCCTCTCTCCCTTCTCTCTCCTCTTTCTTCCCCCCTCTCCTTTCTCCTCTCTCCTCTCTCAAATCTCTCCCATTTCTCTCTCTCTCCTCCCCCCCTCTTCCCTCTCCTCTCCCTTCTCTTCCACCTCTCCCCTCTACTGGTAGTTTACAAACTGGCTTTTACTGTGATGTCACACACAGACTCTAAGACTTTAAAGAGGGTTCTTGTTGCTGCGAGTAACCATTAGTGTTAAATATTACCAGGAATGCAAATGCTTCTCCCAATTCTGCACGTTTTTCTGATTTGTCACGATTTGTGGACACGCTTCTGGGAAAACTCTAGATGCAGAAATAGCAACGGATTAGCGTATAAGAGGAAACGTTTATTTTTATAGCACAGTTCATACACAAGCCAACTCAAAGTGCTGAACAAAAACATAAATCATCACAGGACATTAAAAAGATCCATTAAAAAGTCCTAGATCCAGGACTGAGGCTGTAGATTTGTCAACGAGATGAGCAAAAATGTCTTGTTTTAAATGAGACAAGAAGGTTCTCCCCTTGATTTGAGAAAATAATAATTGCGCTTTTGAAATGAGACAAAACAGACTTTTTAACTGTGAGTTCCTGCTGTTGCCAACATTATACAATGTGTTTCTGAGTAAATCCTGTGCGTAAAGTGCAGTCCTTTGAATCCTGTGTTCGTGTTTGAGTCTCTTCAAACCTCTTCACTCTGAGCCTCTTGAGCCAAAGCACCAGCTCCAAGAGAACGGTCTCTGTTCAGAAGGTTTGAGATTCTGCTAAACTCACCAGCTCCAAAAACACTAACGTTTCATCTCCCACAAGCTCCACTGTGACTGTTGCTGTGACTGTGACTGTTACTGTGACTGTGACTGTTACTGTGACTGTGACTGTTACTGTGACTGTTACTGTGACTGTTACTGTGACTGTTACTGTGACTGTTACTGTGACTGTTACTGTGACTGTGACTGTGACTGTTACTGTGACTGTTACTGTGACTGTTACTGTTGCTGTGACTGTTACTGTTGCTGTGACTGTTGCTGTGACTGACTGTGACTGTTGCTGTGACTGTTGCTGTGACTGTTGCTGTGACTGTTGCTGTGACTGTTGCTGTGACTGTGACTGTGACTGTTGCTGTGACTGTTGCTGTGACTGTTGCTGTGACTGTTGCTGTGACTGTTGCTGTGACTGTTGCTGTGACTGTTGCTGTGACTGTGACTGTGACTGTGACTGTGACTGTTGCTGTGACTGTTGCTGTGACTGTTGCTGTGACTGTTGCTGTGACTGTTGCTGTGACTGTTGCTGTGACTGTGACTGTGACTGTGACTGTTGCTGTTGCTGTGACTGTTGCTGTTACTGTGACTGTTACTGTGACTGCGACTGCGACTGTTGCTGTGACTGTGACTGCGACTGTGACTGCGACAGTGACTGTGACTGCGACTGTGACTGTGACTGTGACTGTGACTGTGACTGTGACTGCGACTGTGACTGTTGCTGTGACTGTTGTGACTGTTGCTGCGACTGTGACTGTTGCTGCGACTGTTGCTGTGACTGTTGCTGCGTCTGTTGCTGTGACTGTTGCTGTGACTGTTGCTGTGACTGTTGCTGTGACTGTTGCTGTGACTGTTGCTGCGACTGTTGCTGTGACTGTTGCTGCGACTGTTGCTGTGACTGTTGCTGTGACTGTTGCTGCGACTGTTGCTGTGACTGTTGCTGTGACTGTTGCTGCGTCTGTTGCTGTGACTGTTGCTGTGACTGTTGCTGCGACTGTTGCTGTGACTGTTGCTGTGACTGTTGCTGTGACTGTTGCTGTGACTGTTGCTGTGACTGTTGCTGTGACTGTTACTGTTGCTGTGACTGTTGCTGTGACTGTTGTTGTGACTGTTGCTGTGACTGTTGCTGTGACTGTGACTGTTGCTGTGACTGTTGCTGTGACTGTGACTGTGACTGTGACTGTTGCTGTGACTGTTGCTGCGACTGTGACTGTTACTGTTGTCTGAGGTCAAATCCAGCTGCAATATTCTCTGCAGTTGTATCAAAAAAAACAAAATGTGTTGACACAAATTGCAAACACTGCCAGTTTCCCCTCCCCTCTCCTCTCCTCTTTTCTTTCTTCTCTCCTCTCTTTTCTCTCCTCTACTCCAGTGTTTTTCAACCTTTTTTGAGCCAAGGCACACTTTTTTCACTGAAAAAATCTTGCGGCACACCTCCAGGAGAAAATGTAAAAATGTATACAGTACTAATGTAAAAAAATATATACTGTACATACTCTGTGTGATATATAAAGTATATCTTATCTTATAATGTATACAGTATACTCTGTAGCCTATATTCACAATATACAGTTATTCTCATCAAAATGCTTAAGTCCAGGCCTTGAAATTAAGCTTTATTTAATATTTCTCGATACAATTAACAAGAGTTTGGGAATAAAGTGGCACTAACTGTGTGGAAAAAAACTAAGAAAATCCACTCTCTGCCCAAATAGTCAAATAATAACTCACACAAAGAACATGCATTGTTAGTGCATGGGAAACATTTTGGTATCCGAGCTTTAAATTCAGGAGTTTTGGATGAGGGACACGGGAGGTCCTGAACGCGAGTCCATGGTTCTGTCCGGTCCGCATGTCTGTGGTTCTGTCCACTCGACTACGGTCTGCGCTCGGTACCCAGTTCAGAAGTGCGTTCGCGAGAGCTGTTGTACAAAAATTGTACATTTCATAGTTAAACCACTACAACGCGGCCACAGCTACCCCGGGGCAGAGCGGAGGATGTTAATCCTGTTCAGAAACGGCATAATTCATTTTCAAAAACGTCTCTATCACTTTCACTTCTCACTCGCCACAAAGCTCTTGTCTCGCTCCCTCACACATTTGTTGGTCGCATCCAATTTTACCTTTCTCGCCACAATGCTGACCTGTTACAGCCAGTGGTCGCATCCAATTTTTCAGTTTCAAAGTACTTAGCTATCTGCTGCCATCTACTGATTTGAAAAAGTATTACATGGTTACTCACAGTTCAAAACAAGTCACCGCTCATCAACAGCGAATGCAGCTATTTTTAGACAAAGTAGACGAATTTCTCACGGCACACCAGACAATATCATACGGCACACTAGTGTGCCGCGGCACAGTGGTTGAAAAACACTGCTCTACTCTATCCTCTCCTCTCTATCATCTCCTCACTGTCGTCTATCCTCTATCTATACTCTCTTAATATTCCTTTCTTTAAAACTGCTCCAATCTGGATTCTTTCTGCACCTAATGTATACAACTTATCCCACTTAGTGAAGCTCCTAAAATTCTCACAAAGGTGTCAGGTTGTAATGCTTTTGTTTCCTCTGTTTGTCTTTGGTATAATAGATGTATAATGTTATTTTGTTTATATTTACACATCTATCTCTGTCTGTTTCTGTCTCTGCCCCCTCTCTCTCCCTCTCTCTGTCTCCCCCCCTCTCTGTCTGTCTCCCAGGTCTGGGTTATGCGTCTCAGGTGATGATCCTCCATGGCTGTGTGTACTACATCATCATTTTGGCCTGGGCTCTGTTTTATCTTTGCCACAGCTTCCAGACTCACCTGCCCTGGTCTCACTGCAACAACTCCTGGAACACCGGTCGGTATTACCTCCCCTTTAATGCCCTCTTAAAGCTGGGGTACCAAACTTTCTCCCCATAACTTAAATAAATCCACAACTTGCTGTTTTTATTTGACCAAAAACATGCTCTATATTGTGTCAGAAAGAGCCCTGTGTGGGATGACCCGAGGGAGAGACCCGAGGGAGAGACCCGAGGGAGAGACCCGAGGGAGAGACCCGAGGGAGAGACCCGAGGGAGAGACCAGAGGGAGAGACCAGAGGGAGAGACCAGAGGGAGAGACCAGAGGGAGAGACCAGAGGGAGAGACCAGAGAGCATTCCCCAACTTTTAAAATGGAGTCGTTTTAAACTAGTTCATAGAGGTAGATTGAAAGATGAAAAATATAATCAATGGGGAAACTACAATAGAAGTATCCAAATTAAACAGAAGGTTTTAATTGAAGAACTGGTATTAAAGCTTGTACTACCAATAACTATGTGGACTAATCAGGATCCTGTGTGTGTTTGTGTGCAGCCTCCTGTTTCCTCTTTGAGCAGGCTAACCACTCTGCTAACGGGACCACCATGCCAGAGAACGCCACATCCCCCGTCATGGAGTTTTGGGAGTGAGTGGATACAAACGTTATTACCTTGTGTGTGTGCTAGCGTCTTATCCATAGACCGTACAGATAGAGAAACTAAAACAGCTCGACCTCAGCTGACAGAGAACCTACAGCTTTCATAAAGGTCAGATTCTGTGGGGATATTAGTGTCCCATGCCATCCTGAACAGTTTTCTTGTTAAATACTTTTGTTTTCTATAAATCAACGTTTTAATGCAACAAACTCTACTCGTTTGCCTCCTGCTCTACCTCCGCTCTGATCAGTAGCTCTGATTGGTCAGAATGCTCCCGTGCTCCTTTGTGCATGTGCATGAGAGCCGCACATGCATTTCCGTTCGTTTTTGGTGGAAAGCATCATGGGAGGTCGTCCACTGCACAGAAACTGGAGGACCAGAGGCATGAACAAATATGGGCGAGTTTCGCTTTTGGTGGCCATGGTCCCTTCATGCGCCACTGAGCACAAGCCATTGATTTGAATACGGCGCCATCTTGATGGAAAAAGCTAACCCGCTAGCTCAATGAAGCCCAATAGGGCTTCATTGGTTTCTCTGGTTTCTCATGGATGAAATTTGGCTCCAACTTTTTGGTCTCTCTCTCTCTATCTCTCTCTGGTTTCTCTTTGGTATCTCTCTCTGGTCTCTGGTCTCTCTTGCTCTCTGGTCTCTCTTGCTCTCTGGTTTCTCTTTGTGGTCTCTGGTCTAAACATTTTTTATTTTTTTTAATTAAATCTCAAAGAGGAGTCAGTTCAAGTAGGAACAAACAAAAAATCAAGTCGAGTAATGCTGCGACTCATCTGTATCTGTGGTTTGTTTTTAGCTGCATGTAAAGTTCAGTCTCTGGTATAAGCCATGATGTTCACTGACGACAAAAGGTGTCATGTCACCACTGTATGAAATACCACAGACTCTGACGCTACACCACCTGCGCTTTTGTCATATTCAGCTTCCGAGCATGAGTTTATGCTCCTAGCTGAGCGTGTGCCATGCTGTGATTGAGACACAAACAAGGGGAGGGGGCGAACAAGGAGGAGGGGTCGAGCAGGCAAGCGCTGCACGGAAAAGGCAGACGAGCAAACCGGCAAAAGTGAAATATATTTTTTTTTATTAACAATATGTAAAAATTCATATTGAGTTTTAAAGATATCTCATTATATCGTAAATATCAACATATTGACATCCCTTAGTCTCTGGTCTCTCTCTCTGTGGTCTATTTCTCTCTGGTCTCTCTCTCCGGGTTCTCTCTGGTCTCTGTAGTGTGAAGGCTCAAGGCTGATACTATAGTGATGTCAGTCCACTCTTTGTCTCGTCAGCTTGAGCTTGTCTCGTTAGCACGAGCGCGTCGTTCTGAAGTGACATACGCATTGTTTCTAGGCGCGAGGTTCTACATCTGGCAGATAACTTGGACAGTCTGGGACCAGTGAGCTGGAAACTCGCTCTGTGCCTCATCGTGGTGTGGGTCGTGTGCTACTTCTGCGTCTGGAAAGGAGTCAAGTCTACAGGGAAGGTGAGACGTCCTAACCCATGCTAACCCATGTAAGAGCTCCATTACGACTCAAACAAAGCTGTAGTCCTGATATCCAGTTCCTCCCAAATGGGTAAAAAAACACCGCCACAAATGACGAGATGTGCTAACCAACATGCTAACCAATGCTAACATTTAATAAGTAAGTGGTAAGTAATCTTTATTTATGTAGCGCCTTTCAAAGACCAGAGTCACAAAGCACTTCTCTGAGTCGCCTTTTGTCTGAGTCGCCTTTTGTCTGAGTCGCCTTTTGTCTGAGTCTCCTGATGTCTGAGTCTCCTGATGTCTGAGTCTCCTGATGTCTGAGTCTCCTGATGTCTGAGTCTCCTGATGTCTGAGTCTCCTGATGTCTGAGTCTCCTGATGTCTGAGTCTCCTGATGTCTGAGTCTCCTGATGCTTGTAGGTGGTGTATCTGACTGCCACGTTCCCTTACCTGATGCTGTTTGTGCTGCTGATCCGAGGAGCCACTCTCCCAGGAGCCTCCACCGGAATCATCTACTACCTCAAGCCCAACGTGACCCGGCTGGCAGATCCTCAGGTCAGCACACGCACACACACACACACACAAACTCTATCTCAATTCATGTCAATTTATTCTTGCATAGCCCTAAATCTCAACGGTAGATATCTCGGAGGACTTTACAAAACCAGTGATTTCGCCATCACAGATGAGAGAATCAAACAGTCCAAACACAAGAAATACTGTACAATGATAAAAAAAAATCACAAAGACCCATTTATCTCTCTGCTTTCTCTCTGGTCTCTGACACTCTGGTCTCTCTCTCTTTCTGGTCTTTGCTTGCTCTCTCCTCTGGTCTCTCTCTGGTCTCTGATCTCTCTTGGTTTCTCTCTGCTCTCTCTCTCTGATGTCTGATTCTGGTCTCCGTCTTTGGTCTCTCTCTGGTCTCTCTGATTTTTCCCTTGTCTTTCTCTGTCTGCAACTGTCTCTCTCTCTCTCTCTCTCTCTCTCTGAACTATGGTCAAAACAGGGACATCTCTGGGTGTGTAAAGCCTCACTGTATATCCACACATTCTTGCGGAGCCCTGACCTTTCGCCCTCTGTCTCGCTCTTTCTCTCTCTCTCTTTCTTTCTCTCACTGTGTCTGCTGCTAAAAATGAGGGAAAGCCACGGAGGTTCCTCCCATGGGTTAAAAATACTGCCACTTGGTCAAACGCTGCTTTTCTCAAATCAGAGAGGTTTAAAGACTGCTGTTGTTTAGCTCCAGGCCTCAAGTCTTGAACTCCTGAGTACAGTGAAAGACTGGAAATGGATTTAAATTGTATTTACAAACTCTGGACTCATCGGCCCTCATTTATGAAACTTGCGTACAGTCAAATCAGGGTGTAAATGAGGCGTACGGAAAAAAATTACTTTTCGGCATTTATTGACCTATAAGTGAGCGTATGGCAAATACCTCTTGCGTTATAAATATGCAATTTCACAAAGTTATGTTTGAGCTATGCCGATACTTTGTGTTATTAAATAATGTGGGAGATGTCAAACTCAAAAGTCTCTCACAAACGTGTGAATTGTTGTATGTATAGCACCTGCAATCAGTGCACATCGGCAATTAGTTCATGCACGTCCAAGCAAAGATGTGTGCCACGAGCAGACTCCTAAACAGCCAAAACAGGAGCTAATCCAGGGCTAAACCAGAACTGACAACGGGGGACACAGTGCTTGTGAACATATGCCTCCAGCTTGAGTTCTCATTCTGAAGTGACTGTAAACAAATACTGCAAACGTGCTCGCCGATGCGGAAGTACCGTTTAATAATAAAATAAACTTATGGCGCACCTCCATGAACACATACTGCTGTTGTATGAAGTCTGTGAAGGCCTCAGACACAGAGATGCTGCAGAGCTGCATTATTGGAGAAGAACTTTACACAAAAAAACGCTAGCTTAACGCATTCCAGTGTCAGCAGTCTGAACGCCCCATAACAAGTGTTTTAAAGGTGTGTGTGTGTGTGTGTGTGTGTGTGTGTGTGTGTATTTTGCAGGTGTGGATGGATGCTGGGACTCAGATCTTCTTCTCGTACGGCATCTGTCTGGGCAGCCTCACTGCTCTGGGCAGCTACAACAAGTACGACAATGACTGCTACAAGTAAGAGACGTGCGTGCACACACTGGTACAGTCACACACAGAGAGGGAGAAACACACTCAGACATAGAGACACACACACACACACACACCGAGACACAGAGGTGGGATAGACAGAAATCCTCTGAGTCATGAGTCAGAGGACTGAGTCATGTTACTCACAGACAAGCCCTAAAGACAGGCTCTTTGCAATGTTGTGATGTCACATGAACATAATAAAGCATGTATCCGCTCACACGCTGCCTGTGTGGCTCTCCTTCACATGTGTACAGTTGATCTGGGCCCTGCTTCAGCTGCAGAGGAATGAGAGGAATGAAGCGAGAAAACAAACCAGAGACCACACCTTAAGAACAGAGGAGGCCATAACACTTTATACATTATACAACTGTCCAACGCCTGGGACTCACTGCCCTGGGCCTGGTCCAGTCTAGTTCAAGTATTGTGGCCTCCTCTGGACTAGACCGTGCTGATCTACAAAGGATAACAAACTGGACATGAAAAGTTTAACACTAGGACCCAGAGATCGCATTCAAATCAATTTAATTCTAGAAAAATATCCAAAAAACTGATTTTATATTTAGTTTTTCTCCTCTCTTTGCTTCGGTCGCTGGTCTGTGTGTTAAGTATTTGTCTCCATTTCATTTGCAGGGACTCTTTTAAGCTGTGTCTTCTGAACAGCAGCACCAGTTTTTTAGCTGGCTTTGCCATTTTCTCTGTTCTGGGATTTATGGCTCAAGAACAAGGAGTGGACATCTCCTCAGTGGCTCAGTCAGGTACAGAGCTCTCGCTCTCTCTCTGTCTTTGTCTCTCTGTCTTCAAAGTAAACTTGTGTATCCCCCATTGTGGTTTCTGTCTCATTGTGGTTTCTGTCTCCTGTGTCCAGGTCCAGGTCTGGCCTTCATTGCGTACCCTCGAGCTGTGGCCATGATGCCTCTGCCTCAGCTCTGGTCCGTCTGCTTCTTCCTCATGATCATAATGTTGGGGCTGGACACTCAGGTGAATACTCTGTTAAAGATCAACTAAACACCAGTGCCCAGTTGTAACTCCGCCCACATGAACATTTGAAAATTCTCTCTAAAAAAAGGCATTGCCCAGCGGACAGGACGGAGGGCATAGAGTTGGCCGTGGTCGGGGCTGTATTGACAGCTCGCTTTTCAATCACAGCCCACACAACAAAAATCAGACAGTTGTCATTGTAATTTTTACAGTTGCTCCGAATAAATAAAAATGTAACCAATAACAAAAGTGATCTTTCTAAGAAAATTTACCTATAGGGTTCAGAACAATCGGTCCTCAAGGTTCAGAAGACTCAGTCCTCAGGGATGGGGGTGATGTCTCTGGAGTAGATAGTAACAATAGTTATTCTGTGGGTTGGTTGTGTCCACAGTTCGTGAGCCTGGAAGCCCTGATGACCTCCGTCACAGACCTGTACCCTCAGTTGATCCGCAGGGGGCGCCGCAGAGAGCTGCTGCTGTTGGCAGTGTGTGTGGTGTGTATGCTGATCGGGCTCGTCATGGTCACTCCGGTAAGAGCAAAGAATAAATAAAACATACATAGTTTAAAGTAAGTTAAGGATAAACAGAGCAAAGATACAGTTCTTACTACTTTCATTTACGTTTTAACTTCTATAAATGCATGTATTCACATTCAAATACAGGATACAGTGCCTTGCGAAAGTATTTGGCCCCCTTGAACCTTTCAACATTTCGCCACATTTCAGGCTTCAAACATAAAGATATAAAATTTAAATTTTTTGTCATGAATCAACAACAAGTGGGACACAATCGTGAAGTGGAACGAAATTTATTGGATAATTTAAACTTTTAAAAAAAATAAAAAACTGAAAAGTGGGGCGTGCAATATTATTGGGCCCCTTTACTTTCAGTGCAGCAAACTCAGTCCAGAAGTTCAGTGAGGATCTTTGAATGATCCAATGTTGTCCTAAATGACTGATGATGATAAATAGAATGCACCTGTGTGTAATCAAGTCTCCGTATAAATGCACCTGCTCTTTGATAGTCTCAGGGTTCTGTTTAAAGCGCAGAGAGAACCATGAAGACAAAGGAACACACCAGGCAGGTCCGAGATACTGTTGTGGAGAAGTTTAAAGCCGGATTTGGATACAAAAAGATTTCCCAAGCTTTAAACATCTCAAGGAGCACTGTGCAAGCAATTATATTGAAATGGAAGGAGTATCAGACCACTGCAAATCTACCAAGACCCGGCCGTCCCTCCAAACTTTCATCTCAAACAAGGAGAAGACTGATCAGAGATGTAGCCAAGAGGCCCATGATCACTCTGGATGAACTGCAGATAACTACAGCTGAGGTGGGGATGGTGTGTTCAGGGTGATGAGCTGTGTTGCTTTTACGCCAAACATATCGTTTTGCATTGTGGCCAAAAAGTTTGATTTTGGTTTCATCTGACCGGAGCACCTTCTTCCACATGTTTGGTGTGTCTCCCAGGTGGCTTGTGGCAAACTTTAAACGAGACTTTTTATGGATATCTTTGAGAAATTGCTTTCTTCTTGCCACTCTTCCATAAAGGCCAGATTTGTGCAGTGCACGACTGATTGTTGTCCTATGGACAGACTCTCCCACCTCAGCTGTAGTTATCTGCAGTTCATCCAGAGTGATCATGGGCCTCTTGGCTGCATCTCTGATCAGTTTTCTCCTTGTTTGAGATGAAAGTTTGGAGGGACGGCCGGGTCTTGGTAGATTTGCAGTGGTCTGATACTCCTTCCATTTCAATATAATTGCTTGCACAGTGCTCCTTGAGATGTTTAAAGCTTGGGAAATCTTTTTGTATCCAAATTCCGGCTTTAAACTTCTCCACAACAGTATCTCGGACCTGCCTGGTGTGTTCCTTTGTCTTCATGGTTCTCTCTGCGCTTTAAACAGAACCCTGAGACTATCAAAGAGCAGGTGCATTTATACGGAGACTTGATTACACACAGGTGCATTCTATTTATCATCATCAGTCATTTAGGACAACATTGGATCATTCAAAGATCCTCACTGAACTTCTGGAGTGAGTTTGCTGCACTGAAAGTAAAGGGGCCGAATAATATTGCACGCCCCACTTTTCAGTTTTTTATTTTTTTTTAAAGTTTAAATTATGACTCACTGCATTGACCTGAAGCAGCTGAACTGTACGAGGAAAGTTCCCATCGAGTTTACAGTCTGACATCAGGGGACACGGGTGTACTTCATGGTCTGTGCATCTGCTGGGCACAGAGCGGCTTTAAAGCTGGGGTACCCAACTTTCTGACCACACAAACTAAAGCAGGACAAAAACAAGACTAAAGAAGGTCTAATGCAAGTGTAAAGCAGAACTAAAGCAGGTCTGAAGCAGAACTAAAACGAGGTGTAAAAGGTGCTGGTCTATCGTTAGTCTCTATCTCGGGTCTCTCTCTGGATTCTTTCCCTTTGACCTCTCTCTCTGGTCTCTCTCTCTGGCTTCTCGCTCTGGTCTCTCTCTGGCCTCTGTCCCCGATCTCTCTCTGGCTTCTTTCTCTTTGGCCACTCTCTCTGGCTTCTTTCTCTGGTCTCTCTGTTTGGCTTCTCACTCTGGTCTCTCTGTTTGGCCTCTCTCTCTGGTCTCTCTGTTTGGCCTCTCTCTCTGGCTTCTCTCTCTCGTGTCTCTCTTTGGCTTCTCTCTCTGGTCTCTCTCTTTGGCTTCTCTCTCTGGTCTCTCTCTTTGGCCTCTCTCTCTGGTCTCTCTCTGTCCTCTGTCCCCGATCTCTCTCTGGCTTCTTTCTCTTTGACTTCTTTCTCTGGTCTCTCTCTTTGGCCACTCTCTCTGGCTTCTTTCTCTGGTCTCTCTCTTTTGCTTCTCTCTCTGGTCTCTCTCTTTGACTTCTCTCTCTGGTCCTCTCTTTGACTTCTCTCTCTGGTCTCTCTCTTTGGCTTCTCTCTCCGGTCTCTCTCTTTGACTTCTCTCTGGCTTTTCTCTTGGGGCTCTCTCTTTGACTTCTCTCAGGCTTCTCTCTTGGGGCTCTCTCTCTGGCTTCTCTCTCTGGTGTCTCTCTCTTTGATTTCTCTCTCTGGTCTCTCTCTTTGGCTTCTCTCTCTGGTCTCTTTCTTTGGCATCTCTCTCTGGTCTCTCTCTTTGGCTTTTCTCTCTGGTCTCTCTCTTTGGCTTCTCTCTCTGGTCTCTATCTTTGGAATCTCTCTCTGGTCTCTCTCTTTGGCTTCTCTCTCTGGTCTCTCTCTTTGGCTTCTCTCTGGTCTCTCTCTCATTAACACTATGGTTACATCACACTCTGTCAGTCCACTCTTCATACAGTCTAATGTTGCTGACTTTGCTCATTCTCTGTTTCTTTGACCTCACCTTTTTCTCTTCCCTTCACTTCCCCTTTCCTCGCTCGTCCTCTCCCGCCCTCTCTCCTCTCTCTCTCTTGGGTGATGGACAGCAGACAGAGCCACCACTCTGACCTTCTCAAACCTCACTGTTACATGGCCAACCCTCTGATAGGAAAGAGCGTGTGGAATCCTTGGGCGTCGCTCCCGGCAGATGTTTGGTTACTTAACTTTAGGTCCAGCCCAGAGAATCCCGGAGGAGCACGGGATTTTTGTCTTAAAACGGAGAAATGTGGGACAGGAAAGGCCAACGCTGCTGTTATTGGATTACAGAGGAATGGAAATGTACAGGCTTTTGAGGAATGCCTATGAACTGTCTTAACACGGGATTAAAGAAGGTCTAAAGCAGGACTAAAACGGGACTAAAACAGGTCTAAAGCAGGACTAAAACAGGTCTAAAGCAGATCTAAAGTTGTACAAAAAAACAGGTCTAAAGCAGGACTAAAACAGGTCTAAAGTAGGTCTTAAGCAAATCCAAAGAAAAGACCAAAGCAGGGTCTAGAACAATGCTAAAGCACTCGGCATTTAAAGGTCCTATATTTAGCTTTTCCTCATTTTTCACAGTTCATTCTATGCACATGTGTGACAATAATATGGGTTTTACAGCATACAACAAGTCAAACAGACAACACATGGTATAAGAACTGTATGTTGTTTAGCAGGTTATCTGACACTACATAAATTACACATGACACTGAGGAAAATATTTTCAAGATTACATTTATTGTGCTGTACAGAACGTGTTTAGGATTTGGCGTTTAGACCCCGGCAAAGCACTGCACGATTCCAGCAGGGGAAAGAGATTATGAGATGAAATCCCCGGGGCCTAGACCCTGGTGGTGGGAGCTTAGAAGAAGGATAAAAGAGCTGGGCTATAACGAGGCAGAGATGGGGAGGAGGAGGGTTGCAGCATGAATATGAAGCTGATGCGGGCAGTGCCTGATTGCTGCTGGTGAGGATTTGCGTGTGGCACTGCCGCTGAGTGTGATTGACTGATTGCTCTTGCTGTGGGCAACAGTGGTGAGCTTGGTTCTCCTGTCTTCCAGTCTGAATTTGTGCTTAAGCTTTATTTTTGTGGATGTGATGTCACCTCTTTTGAAATGGCTGGTTCTCTGTTCCTCCCCCTGTAAGCCCACCTCCCCCCACCCACGTGGTGTTGGGAATAACGCAGGTTTCCAGATCAGCTTTTGTCCATCTACCCATTTTCTTCCGCTTTATCCGTTGCCGGGTTGCGGGGGCAGCAGTCTAAGCAGGGACACCCAATCTTCCCTATCCACACACACTTCCTCCAGCTCATCTGGGGGGACCCCAAGGCGTTCCCAGGCCAGCTGAGAGACATTGTCCCTCCAGCGTGTCCTGGGTCTTCCCCAGGGCCTCCTCTCGTTGGGACGTGCCCGGAACACCTCCCCAGCGAGGCGTCCAGGGGCATCCGGAACATATGCCCGAACCATCTCAACTGGTTCCTCTCGACATGAAGGGAACACCCAGCCACTCTGCGGAGGAAGCTCATTTCAACCGCTCTTATCCGCGATCTCGTTCTTTCGGTCATTACCCAAAGCTCATGACCATAGGTGAGGGAGGGAACGAAGATTGACCGGTAAATTGAGAGCTTTGCCTTTCGGCTCAGCTCCCTCTTTACCACAATGTTCTGATACAGCGACCGCATCACTGTGCGCGCTGCAATGATCCGCCTGTCAATCTCACGCTCCATCCTTCCCTCAATATTCCCAAATATTGTGGTAATTCAGACATCGACACAACCAATTTTCTAGCCTTTTGCTAACATCTGGCTGAGGGGAAGAAGGTTATAAAACTACACACAAGTCACACCAGAGACAATACTTTTCATAATGACAGCATAACAAGCCGTGGAGCTGGGTTTGGGTGAAAGAAGCTGACTTTGCTTTGACTGCGTATTTTTTACTATCAGCTGAGAACCAAATTTCCGTTTTCATTAAAACATTAAAACACATTTATTATCCTTAGCACCACTCTGAACATGTGTTTGTTATGAGAGAGTAAGAGATAGGAGTTTGAAGTACAACCTGAACTCTTACTATAATAATAATTCACTATGAGAGAGATCAGACAGACGGAGCAAGGTCACACAGGGGAGGGATGGTTTTAAAGCTGACGACCAGAGAGAGAGAGACCAGAGAGAGAGACCAGAGAGAGAGAGAGACCAGAGAAAGACCAGAGAGAGACCAGAGAGAAAGAGAGACCGGAAAGAGAGAGAAAGAAACAGAGAGATCAGAGAGAGACCAGAGAGACACACCAGAGTGAGAACAAGAGAGACCGGAGAGGAAGACGGGTGAGAGACCAGAGAGAGAGCAGAGAGGGACCAGAGAGAGAGCGAAGAGATAGAGAGACCAGAGAGAGGGTGAGCAGAGAGACCATAGTTGCTGACATGAAATAAGTGGAACTTTGTGATCAGCACAGGGATTACAGAGAAATTAGCTCCAAACTAAAACCTTTATCTCGGCTCCCCTCCACCACGACATTAAACTGTAGTGTCTTTGGAACACTGTGATGTCACATAAACTAATGATTATAAGGTCTGGGACATTAAGGTTTAAACATTTCCACTATTGTTGCACCTCCGTGTAACATTACCTTCTGAATTATTGTCCAAATGTTGTGTGCTCTCTCTATTTGTTGGCGTTGCTAGCTTCATCTGTGGCTTGGCTGGTGTCAGTATGTTGTATGGAAAAGCTGAGAGCGAGGAGGACCACCTGTGGACTGTGGTCAAAGCTCTTATAATCTCACACTAAACAAGTCCAGATATTTTTACCCCTGACCTCCCATGGTGCGGCCCCGAATCTAAACATTTAAGCTTTTTTTAATAATGTCAGATTAGCTTCAAAGGGAAATATGTCTTTGAGCTGTAGACAAAGTCATTTGGGAACAAAAGCGGGACAAAAAAATACTTGCAAAATCAGAGTCTTGGTCTTGGTACTGGTTTTGGTCTAGTCTTGGTCTTATTAGTCTCATGCTGGTCTTGGTCTAGGTCTAGTTTTCACATGAGGTGACGTGTGATCCTAGGGTCTTTCCTCTCTATGAGATGTGGTAAAGGTAAAGGTGCACTTTATAGATCCCCGTAGGGCAATTCAATCCTCCCCATTCAGATGCCGCCAAGGCTTATGTCAGAAGCAGTGGTCGCCGTAGAACAGCGCCCGGGAACCCATCTCCAGATGTTGATGCTCGGCTTGATCAGGACTACCGGAGCTGGAGGATTTAACCTAGTGTGCATGTTTTTAGTGGTAGGGGAAACCAGAGTACCCGGAGGAAACCTAAGCAAGCACGGGGAGAACTCAGCAAGACCCCGTTCTGACCAGGATTCGAACCCCCTTGATTTGAGACTTACATAAGAGCTTCAGTTTGACACATACAAGAGGAGCCGAAGTTAAGATCTTTCAAACAATCAGAAGGAACCTTGTAAGTCACTATTTGGCTCTTTAGGCTGAAAACGAAGTGAGGGCTGAGTATCCTCACTTCGCCAATCAACTCTCTTTAGTTTCTCTCTTGATTCTCCATTTCTTGTCTCTTTCTCTCTAGTCCTGTCTGAAAATGTTGATCTAAAGATGAGAAAGAGGCCAAAAACACATGAAACCAGTGACAAACTGTTTTAGAGCCAGGAACTAGTGACATATTAACAGGATCACTGATACAAGTTGATTCCTAATCCTAACCTCGGATTATGTCCTCATTGTATGATGTTTCTATCTTGACTTGTTGAACACTTTCAGTTGTGTATGAACTGTGCTAAACTAACAGCAACTGCAGGTCTGTTTTTTTTACAATGTTGTAGCATGGTTAAAAATGTTGCCTCAATTTAAGTGTGCATATCAATAATTACAAATGCAGTTTCAGACATGCACGAGCCCAGATCTCCACGTGCACGCTCTGTTTACAAGTCACTGTCAGCATCGCTCACACAAGCTTACTTTCCAAGACGATTTGCACTTTATCCACTATGTCAAAACATATAGATATGATAACTTTTACTAGAAGTGGTTTGAAATGGATTTCTACAAACAGAATCCAAACTTTACTCAATTGATATTGTGTCTCTGAAATTGTCCCGTATTTTCAGAGTCGTCTTAAATGCATCACTCACTCACTGCACATAATTTGATTGTTTTTAAGCGTCTACCTATCGGCCAATGAGGGTCAAAGGGTTGATCACATCCATGGGCTTAATGTTGACAAGAGCCAGCATGGCCCACGCCCTCAGCATCATCATGGCAGAGGCACAACCGTCAGAATGTTTGACAGAATCAGAGGGCCCGCGGCTTGGATCAGCCTCACTCAACTCTTCATTTCTGAAGCATCACCCGAGGCAGATAGAGTAATGAGTTCTGAGTTTCTTATAAGTTAATTTGAATGAGTTTTGGTATGTTTATGTTGCAAACAATATAGACCTTTAAAATCCCGAAATGGCATGGGTAATCGTTCTTTGGTTGTTAGCTGGCTGTGGTAGTCACTTATTCTCAATGTGAAATTTAAGAAATTTTAAATTCTTATCAGGTTATGGTCAAACTTAGGCTGTTTATTTCATTTTATTTTGAATACAGATTTGTTGTCTTCATATGTAGTCAATAAATTACTGTGAAACTCTGTGAATATGAAATTTCAGGATTCCTGTGTAAATTGAAATGTTATGTCATTTTCATCCCCTTTATCATTCCATTTCTGGGTTGGGAGCTGCCACCCAAATCACATAGCACCAGCCCAAAAATTGAAATTAGGACAACTAAAAGTGCTCAACCCAATCCACCCAAATGGTGTACCATATTTTTCTGTTCTCAACTTGGCAGTGAGCCAGGCTGTGAGTCAGATGTGGACTGGTTCCCCTGGTCCTTAAAGGTCCCATAATACGCTTGTTTCTCTGGTTTAAACATGTTTACAGTGCTGTTTGGCCTTTTTGTAGTTTTTTTATTGATTCTTTCAAGCTTTAGTCAGTCAGTTCTCTTTCATTCTCCAGAGGCACAAAAACGAGCTGTTAAAATCGTGACGTGGCAAAATCTGTGACGTCAAAATCCCACCTTCATGAGGTGATTGGGGAGAGACTGAGCCAGCGAATGAGCGCCGTCTATGGTCAGCTGCAGCCTCACTCCGAGTCCAGCGTGTGGTCCATAGACAGTAAATAAGCGTCCGCGCTTTTTATGTTAGCTCATGTCAACTTGGAGAAAATGGATAAATATAAATATGTAACGGGACTTAGTAATTAGGCCGAAGACGGAGAATGAGGCGAATGGGGCTCGACTTTGTTCACGAAGATCTGCCTCGTCTCCGCGAGTCTGAAATCCGTGACAAGACTTGCCGATGTTTTCCTCACCAAAAACTGTTCCAGAACTAGCTACCTTGAAACGGGACCTTCTCAAAAGCTGATCTGGAAACCTGGTGCTATTCCCAACATAAAAGACGCTAACAGGAACCTCCGTGAGTACAATGCTTCTAACTCGCCGTATGTCACTGTGAACTAAATTATCAGAGTCTGATTCTGGATTGAGGACACAAAAGGGAGACCAGTGAGGAAGAGCGAGACCGAGGAGAGACCAGAGAGAAATGAGAGAGAGACCAGAGAGGAAGAGAGAGACTAGAGAAAGAGACAAATTTCAAAGTAACGTTGCCAAACCTGTGTGTATGTGTTTGAGGTAGATTTAAAGCTGTGGAAGGCAATGAGTTTTATTATTTATATTTCTCCCAACTTTCTTGCTAGCAGCTCTCTGTTTAGCATTCAGGTGATACTCTGTGATACTGTGCTGCACTGATATGCGAACACAGCCATGTTCTTATTGAAGCTTCCAACTGTTTGTTTGTATAACATTTCCATCCACAGAGCGAACACATGGAGTCAGCTTATTCGTTGGTGCTCATGAATAATAGGTCCGTCAAAACGTAAGTAAGTAAGTAAGTAATCTTTATTTATATACCGCCTTCACTGCACACCGGAGTCTCAAAGCGGTTTACAATTGTTATTTTTGGGAGTGGGGGTCGCCAGTACAGGAGGCACATGCCAGACCTATTGTACATATTTTTCGTGGTAGGGGAAACCGGAGCACCCGGAGGAAACCGGAGCAGACACGGGGAGAACATGCAAACTCCACTCAGAAAGGCCCTGGTCCAACCGGGATTCGAACCCAGGACCTTCTTGCTGAGAGGCGAGAGTGCTATCCACTCAGCTACCATGCCGCCCGTATCGTATCCACTGTTCTGCGGCGCGTAATGCGAAATATTAACAGGTTATTAGTTGCCATAGCTTAATGAACATTTTCTGTTAAAATGCAATACATGTATTAGTTCCCTCCCATGCGTCAGTGTTTTTAATTGTCTATTCATGCAATCTTGACAATAAATATCTAAGCCTAATGCAACCTTTGTCTCGAGTCTTTCCAGAGAGATTGGAGAACAGTTGAAAAGAAGAATAGGAACAGGATTAGGGCTGAGAGTCTGTGTGCAGGTGAATACAGACTGAACCAGTCGTCTTTCTCAGACGTCAGACTATATTACAGTAAACTCCACATGACACATCTCCTCTGAAGCGTTCTGTTCTCCGTCTCATAATCTTTTCCATGTCTCCAGAGTCAGACCACCTCCTCGCTGTCCTCGTGCCCTCCTCACCACCCCACGGACCAGGACCAGGAACAGGACCAGTCACATTTATGACAGTTTTTACAAGCTGTTTACAGGATCGGCATGTGGCCACTAGAATGGTCTCTCTCTCTCTCTCTCTCTCTTTCTCCGATTTCTCTCTCCCCTCTGGCCTATCTATTTTGTCTCACTCAGGTCTCTCTAAAGTCTCTCTCTCTCATCTCTCACTAATCTCTCTCTATTCTCTCTCCGGTTTATCTCTCTGGTCCCTCTATCTGGTCTCTATCTCTGATCTCTCGCTTGCCTCTCTCTAGACTCTGGTCTCTCTCTCTGGTCTCTCTGTCCTCATGTCCTCCTAATCACCCCAAAGACCAGAACCAGGACCAGGAACAGTCCCAATTTCAGCAGTTTTTTACAAGCTGTTTACAGGAGGACCATGTGGCTGCAGACACATAAGGACAAGGGCAGTTTACGAAGTGTTAGACGAGAACAGGATGAAGTCAGGACAGAGTCAGACAGCAACAACTGAACCAAACCAAGGATACCCTTAGGTTTTAAAGCTCTGGGGCGACAGTGGTTCAGTTGGTAGAGCATTGGCCTTTGGGCCTGGAGATCGTGGGTTCGAGTCCTTGGGCAAGACACTTAATCCAACTTTGCTAGAAGCCCCGTTGAAAGATCAGGGCTATGCTCACAGTGACAGAGCAGCCATCCTCCTGTGGACTCACCACCTGCAGGAGGACCAGTGAGGGGCTGGTGCTTTGGCAACTGGGTGCAGCTCTGAGATTTTAAAGCTGGGGAACGTAACTTTAAAACATAACAAGAATCCATCTCCTTCGTTCTTGGCTCTAAAACAGTCTGCTTCTTACAGTCGTTCTCACTGGCCATGGTCTTGTCTAACTGGTCTTAGTCTGATCCTGGTCTAGTCTTGGTCTGGTCCTAGTTCTGGTCTAGTCCTTGTCAAGTCTTAGTCCTTTAAGAACATGCAATGGTTAGTAAACAATAGAAAAAGAAATTGAAGACCGTTTGTAGACAGTTGGAGACAATTATTTGACGAGTTATGTGATGAAATCTCCATCCCCCCGGGTTTGAGACACTGGGAAACATGGGTGACGATGTGTACAAGGCATTCACAAAAGTGGAGAGTGAGTGGACGAAGGTCGGGCTCAAGGAGAAGCAGTCGGGTCGGGTTCACACAGTCACACCTTTTGTTCGGCTCTCTTCACTTCCGGACCGCCACCTCCCGTTTAACGAGACGCAATCAGCCACTTCCTGTTCTCAAGAGCAGACTTCCTCTTTGGGGAGGGAGGGGGGCGGGAGGGGCTGCACCGATTTCTACTTCAGCTAGTAACCAGAGTTCAAGTATATATGATCCATCCACCTGCTCTACTCTACTCTTTTAATCACGTCCTTTTGGTCAGAGAGAGACCAGTTAGAGACCATGGAGAGATCAGAGAGAGAGGGAGACCAGAGAAAGACCAGAGAGAGAGAGACCAGGCAAAGAATCAAAATAAACAGTCCGACACAGCAACAGCATTCATAATGTGGAAATAAATATAAATGATAATAATTTGTCTTCACACATGAGACACCATCACTCAAAAACTATGACTCTCTAGTTTCTCTCCTGCTCTCTGGTCTCTCTCTCCTTTCTATCTGGTATCTTCTCGGTCTCGCTCTCCCTCACTGGTCTCCCTTTTATTCCACAGTAGTTGGCTATAATTTCCTGTAGCTTTGGTCAGTATAGACAAAACCATATTTTGTTAAAGCTAACTGAACGTTCACACCTGTGTTAGCTTAGCACTGCACACTGGAGAGCTATTAGCAGCTAGCCCTGATTGGTTTTACTGAATTTATACACGGTGGCTACTTGCTAACAGCACATTTAAGAGCTTGTGGTCACAGTCTGGAATATGCCAAGCGCCACCCACAGAGAGGGACCAGAGAGAGAGACCACAGAGAGGGAACCAGAGAGAGAACAGACATAGATAGACCAGACAGAGGGACAGTAGGCAGAGAGAGACCGGAGAAAACAACCTGATTTTATGAGGAACCATGTTGGAACATAGTCAAAAGTCCAACACTGGTTTCTATATTTTGCTTTTGTCCTCTCTCATATATTCCTTAAGCTGATGTGATCTGAGAGGACTTTCCATCCTGTTGTCTCACACTGCTCTGGCCTTTCACCACAGCTCAATGTGTCCCGAATCATTTCTGATCCAGTAACAGTCCATTCAACAAGTCCTCGAGACCCCCGCAGACCACAGACCGCACTATCTCACACTGCAGCTCTAATTCTCTCCAAATGGTGGAGTTTCGACTGGCTTTCGAGGCATGTTTTTATCATTCCATCGTTGGCTGCGTCTCTAAGAGCAGCGGCCAATCCTGGCAACGAGTTACAAATGATCTACACCGATGTACGCAGTGTTTTAAAACCATTCTGGACAAGAAAATTAGGTGATAGCGAGCCGTGAAGCTAAAAACGCCTTGTATGCATTGTGTTATGGGATTTTCAATGGATTTAAAAGGTAAAGTGAAGTATATGTGTGTGAGGATATTGGTTATGCAGGTGGAATAGGACAGTTAAAGAGGATATGACATATTATATTGGCTTTTATCCCCTGTTTTTGCAACTATAGCAGCCAATAGCTAGGGATAACACAGAGGGAGCAAACAGTGGAGGAGTAATAGGAAAACCCTGTCTACGGCCTCTGACAAAAAATAACTTTTATAAATGTTCTGCTCTATATAGTAGTTTAGTGGTCTATAATGCATTTTCTGGTCTCTCTCCCTTTCTCTTGTCTCTCTCTGGTTTCTTTCTCTGGTGTCTCTCTCAGGTCTCTCTCTCGTCTCTCTGTGAGCTCTCTCTGCCCTCCCTCTCTCTGGTCTCTCTGGTCTCTCCCTCCGCTCTCTAAGCTCACTCTCTCCCGGCCGTCTCTCTCGTTATGTCTCAGAGTATTAGAATATTGTGCAAAGGGTCTGTTGGACTGTGCCCTCAAATGCTTTTGTCGACATTAATGAAACGTGTGCTGATAATGAAAGCAGTTTGAAGGAGGCACTCAGACACATGGAGGCCACACGCTTCAGGCAGAGGCCAGATGACTGGGCCATGCAAGCAAGAAATGAAATAAAATAACGATTATGTAAGAAATGGCAGATCAAAGGCAGACGAGGAGGTGGTGATACATGTAATCCTGTTTGGAAAATATTATATTCTGATGTAACAATGTTTAGTAACATTGGAATTTTCAACCTTTTTGTTTTGCTTTAATATGAGACAAGTGGAACTAGATGGATAAACATGAAAAATTAGTAAGAGTAAGAGATGATAAGAATGCAGAAACTAGAACATTTAATGCAGACACTAATTTAACTGGCAGTATTATTGGTTTTATTGGCTTTGTCCATGATCCATAAAGCAGTTTCTATTGGGATCATTGAAGCCCAATAGAAAATGAAATGTCCCGACTGTGAGACAAATAAAATAAATATCTTATCTTAGTGAAGTAAACTCCTCTAGCTCACCGTTTGTGTCACACTCACCATTTTGGGCATACACATTTGTGGTGTATTTCTCTCTGTTATCCTGGTGTTTGTATTGTATTATCGTTTTTGTAAATCCATTTAAGAGAACGGCGACTATAACACTGTGCTCCTACTAAAACGTGTGCGAGAGATGTGCACGAGCCCAGTTCTCCTCGTGCTGTCTGCATCGCACTTTTTCCACTTTGTCAGACTTGCCACCGTGAAAATCTATTTACCAACATAAAAAATATAAAGCCCATGGTATACTCCTAAACCCACACAGGCGCAGAAAGTATAAACAAATTGATCCATGCTTTCAAGGGACGAGTGCGAACGACACATATCACCAGGATGATTGACAACGTGGAGGACCAATAGCCTTGATCCACCTGGAGAACATCCTCCTCTTTACCTTCAAGGCTAACACTGTAGTGATGTCTCACTCAGTCAGTCTACTCCTAATATACAGTCTATTGATGTTTGAATTTGTTTTTGCACACACTTAAATTAATACAGTAAAGCAAAGACCGCAACAATTCATTTAATAATTACCTGTTTCACTCCTGCGTTTTTTCTGAGTTCACTCATGTTCCTCTTTGACGTCTGCTTTTCGTGACTGTTGTATTTGAATAATGTAAGTTCAGTGCTGGGAGCTCACCTTCACGTGAGAGTTCAGATAATTATGATGTCTGTAATAAGTCAGTCATCGTGTGTCACTTTACAGTTAATGTACAGACCGTAATATATGTGACATTTCATTTCAGTCTCTCAATATTTGTAATGCCTTTGAAGAATGTGAGGGATATGAATCGCAATAATATAATACTATTGTGTTGCTGTTAAACAAACTCCTTGTATTATTATAATTGTTGAATTTTGACTCAGTGCAACCCCAATGGTTTCTTTTCTCCCAAGTCTCTCTCTGTTGGTGATGGCTGCACATTCAGACTTTTATTATTACGACTTTTGGCTTCGTAAAGTGCGTTTAACTTTGTGTTTAGAAGAAGCAAAGCGAGAGAGCGTTTCTGCCAGAGATTCAAGGCAGAGGACAGCAGCTGAGCGAGAATTTATCAGTGAGAGAGAGAGACTGGAGAGAGACCAGAGACAGATCATAGAGAGACCAGAAAGGGAGAGAGAAAGAGAACAAAGAGAGAACAAAGAGGCCAGAAAAGAGGGAAACTAGAGTGAGACCAAAGAGAGACTAAAGAGAGGGACCAGAGAGAAACCAGAGATAGACTAAAGAGAGGGACCAGAGAGAAACCAGAGAGAAATCAGAGGGAGACCAAAGAGAGACCAAGGAGAGAAAGCAAAAGCTAGGAGCGAGACAAAAGAGAGAGGCCAAAGAGAGGGACCAGAGAGAGACCAGAGTCAGACCAAAGAGCAACCCGAGAGGAAAAGCTCAGAAAAAAAGACCAGAAAGAGACCAAAGAGAGAACAAAAAGGCCAGAGGAGAGAGATACTAGAGATAGAGCAAAGAGAGAGAGACCAGGGAGAGACCAAAGAGATGGACCAGGGAGAAACCCAAGAGAGAGAGAGAGACCAGAGAGCGACCA